TAACCATTTTTACAAGAAAATATTTTTGAATAATTTTATTTAAAAATAAATTCAAAATTCATGTTGTGTTGAAGTATCCAATAGCTTTCATTACACTTTATACAAAGTGATAAAAGTTTAAAGTGCACTTTGTGATAAAACTTAATTCTCAACTAAGTACTCTATTTCAGAAGAAATTTTCCATTTAATTCCTTGACCATGGTAATCATTTAGAAACTGTGGCTACATGTGATTATTGAATTATGGTCATTACAAAGCAATAGAAACCAACTTTCATGTCATAGTTCACTTTAAGTAATAGAAAAGCATTTTAAAGAACAAAATAGCAAATTTGAATAGGCCCTCTAGAGTTTAGAGGGGCTAAATGCCTCTGTAGCAGAAGGTATGTCTTTCAGATGTTGAGGGTAGGTTGATATTTTTTAATAAATCAAGAGGAGACAAAAACACAAAGTGGCAAGAAAATAAATCATGACCCTAGTGAATATTCAAGCATTTCCTATGTTAAAAATGTGAACATATATATTTTAGTTCAAGCTGGTGCTTCAATATTTTTTGTGTACAAGAAACGTTCCTTCTGAAGAATTAAAATATAGAAATTAAGTACTGACATCCTACAGAAGTTCAGTAATTTTACTAATCCAAGGCAAAAAGTCCAGCTAGCCCGAGAAGAGGGATATCTAGGTGTTCAGGCAGAGGAAACATGGAGATGGAGAGAAGATAAGGTGAGAAGAGGGAAGGGGAGGTCAGAAAAGAGGAGGTTAGGAAAGAGAAGGGGAAGGGTGGTGATATGGTTTGGCTCTGTGTCCCCAACCAAATCTCATATCGAATTGCAATCTTCAAGTGTTGGGGGAATGGCCTGGTTGGAGGTGATTGAATCATGGGAGTGAACTTTCTCCCTTCCTGTTCTTGTGATAGAGTTGTCAAGAGATCTGGTTGTTTGATATATGTAAGGTGCTTCTCCCTTCTCTGTCTGCTGCTTCCCCATAGTAAGATGTTCTTGCTTTCCCTTTGTCTTCTGTGATGATTGTACATTTCCTGAGGCCTCCCCAGCCATGTGGAAATGTGAGTTAATTAAACCTATTTTTTTCATAAATTACCCAGTCTCAGGTAGTTCTTTATAGCAGTGTGAGAATGAACTAATACAGGAGGACAGAGAGATGAGAGGATAGTAGGATATGACAGAGGAAAGAAGGGGAGAGGGAGGGATGGGAGGCAAGAGAAGGAGGACTTAGAGGAAGAAGAGCCAGGGAACAGGAGACCAGGAAAGAGGATGGGAGAGGAGGCCACAGGAGGGAATGGAAGGGGAAAAGAGGAGAGGAGGCCAACACAGAGGAGGAGAAGGGAGGCCAGGGGAAGGGAAACCAGCAGGTAAGACTTGCTTATCTGTGAGAAGAACCTTAAACCTAATCCTGATAATTCATGGAAGAGCAACTGGAAACATTTCAACAATGATGAAGTCAAATTAAAACATAAAAATATATCTTTACTTGTTGAATATAGAACCCTTTTGAAAGGGAGAGAAGTTGGAAATCTATTTCAGTCATCTAAGAATGATAGGATAGTATTTGGAATAAAGTGGAAGAGATGGAGAAATGTGAATGTAAAAAAAATTTTTTTAGAAGTTAAAATGAGCAAAGCTTTATAATTGACTGGATATAGAGGATGATGAAGAATGATTAGTAAGGGAAGTCTAAATCTCTGGCTTACACAAACTGATAGGTAGCGGTGCCTTTTATTAGTAGGAAAAAATTAGGAAAGTGGAATCAATTTTCTATAGAATGAGATGTATAAAAGGCTTTCCCTAAACTCCTTGAAGCAGCAAAATTTATGCTTTGCTTTTAGAAAACAGAACAAGTATTTACTCTAATTTCTAGGAAAGAGGAGAGAAACATTTTTTCAATCTTTTTTTGAATTGGAGGAATTTTCTCTCTGTGCAAATCATACAATTTGTATATACAAATTGTATAATTATACAAATATACAATTAATCACTTTTTTCCTAGACATTTCTCTTAATTAGAGGCTTTGAACACTGTTAGCCAGAAATATTAATTCAATTTAGAGCATCTCTCTCAATAAATCAGCCACATAAATAAAAATAAACTGGTTTCATCAAGAAACAATATGAAGAAAACTGGGTAATTAACATTTCTTCCTTCATAGAAATATTATTATAGGACTTTGGACCACAAATGCAGGTTAGTTCTTCATTCAATGGTCAGTTACATTCAAACATTAACTAACACCATCATGTATAATCATATTATTTTCTAAGTATAAAGATTAAATTATAGCAATTTTCTGTATTTAAAACTTTCTTTTGAGTTACTAAACATTTCTAAAGACAGGGCAATAAATGATAAGGTGAATGTCATATTACAGAAGCTACTTTCTTAGTGTTTAGAAATGATATCAGTAAGAATATCTGTGTCTTGATATATGTAAATAGTCCTAGAAGTGTTTTAAGTGTGAATAATAACAATGAACATGTTTCCTAGAATATTCCATCTGCAATGAAAACAAGCTGAAAAGAAAAAAAAAATCTCCAGTGTATTTATATTTAAAGGCCGAACATGAACTTCAATGAGGAAAACTGATACTCCAGAAATATTAGAATAGATTTTTTTCTTCTGATACACACCTGTATCACTGGCAAAGTTTTTGATCCACTAGTCTTTGCCAGCAAAAAATTATTTTGAATGCAAGACTGTCTTGCATTGTAACATAAGGAGTTCTTTATTATTCTATGTTAAAGCAGGAGATTTTAATATTTCTTGTAAGTTTGTATAATCATACACCAATAAGCATGCTTTTTTTAATTTGTTGGTTCTGAGGTTTTCAATTATTAAAAGTAAATTTTCTTTGAGCACAGTTCTAAAGTAGTACATGTAACTGATCACTTTCAAATTATTATTCTCTCACTTTTTCCTTTGTTTCTTTGATTTACACACATACATACACAGAGATAACAAATATATTTTCATCTCCAACAAATCTGAGAATTTCATATTGGTGGAATAAGATTCACTTGTTATGGCCCAATGGACATACTTTACCTGCACATATATGCATTGGGGCAATTGTAAACTGCATTTTAATTAAATTATAGTAATGGTTCTCTCTAGATTCATGTCCTCCATGTCCTAGTCACTGTGAAGACAAAGATAAATAAGATACAAGTTATTTTCTGAGAAGTTTATGGACTGATGTGGAAACACATATATTAAAATTATTATTTAATGCCATAGATACAAAATAAAGTGATTAACCAGAGCATGGGAGCACAGATGAACAATGGAACAAACTGACCAGGAAATGTGGTACAATTAATCATTTCTCTCATACTTTCACCTTCATTTACACTCACACACCCAGAAATCTATTTTGGTTTTCACATAGTTTTTCACCAAGTTTTTTCCATCTTTTTATATGTAGAAGATCTATGTGTTTTTTTTTTAATTTTTTTTTTTTTTTTTTTTTTTTTTTTTTTTTTTTATTGAGACGAGTTTTGCTCTTGTTACCCAGGCTGGAGTGCAATGGCGCCATCTCGGCTCACCACAACCTCCGCCTCCTGGATTCAGGCAATTCTCCTGCCTCAGCCTTCCGAGTAGCTGGGATTACAGGCACGCGCCACCATGCCCAGCTAATTTTTTGTATTTTTAGTAGAGACGGGGTTTCACCATGTTGACCAGGATGGACTCGATCTCTTGACCTCGTGATCCACCCGCCTCGGCCTCCCAAAGTGCTGGGATTAAAGGGGTGAGCCACCGCACCCGGCCTGCTTTTTTTTAATCTAGATTGTGCACTTCATGTACTGTAACTGTAAGCTAAGAGTTGATGACAGGGCTGGGGTAGAACAACAGAGCAGCTTGCCTCTGTATGGAGTCTGTAAAATGGGCATTTTATTTGGACAGCAACCAAGGAAAAATCAGTTTGAGTTGTTTATTTCAATGTATCAATTCATTGTTCCCATAGCTTTAGATAATTTGGAAGAAGGATTGCTCACATTCCCGTATGTCGTTCTTTGTTTTATCTTTAAGTGTTTTGCTTTCCAAATTTTGTTAATCCTATTTCCCCCTGATTTCATTGTAGCAGATTCTCTATTGTCCAAAGGAGAAGTAGAAAACAGAATAAATTGTTAAAAGAATTGATTCTTGTGATAATACCCTCTACCTGCACTGAAGATTTGCTCTTAATAATCAGAAACGTGTGAACATTGGTTTTAGACTCTGTATTTTAACTTCAGCCACAAGTTCATCACGTGTATAAAGGGAATTTCACATAGTAAGAATGATTATTTATTGAACATCTACATTGTGCCTAGGGTATCTGGGTGTGCAATAAATGCTATGATTTATTGTTGGAATAACAATAAATCACTCCAGTTTTGTGCTTTAAACTGAGTCTGGGTAAAGTTAACTTTCCCAATATCTCATACCTGTTCAAAAGTTAAATCAAGTCACTTTTCACTATAGTCTCTTCTTATTTCCTTTTCCCTTTTTAAGAGAACAAAAAGTCTTGCAGAAAATTTCTCTTAAAAAGCTATTGACTATTTTGCAATCAGTAATAATGTCTCAAAGCAGCATTAAATAAGGTAATGATCAGTTTGTCTGCCGTAGCATATAATAAAACAGGATACAAAAGGTTTTCATATTCCAGCTAACTTCTGCTGAGATTTACACAACATACTCTTGTGTGCTCCTTTGTTTTACATCGTGAGAGAAGGAAAACAGTGAGTTGTGTTCAAGCCAGAGGAGTCTGGAGGTGGTCAGACTAAAAATTATGCTCTTTTCCATTTTTTTTTCAACTATGAAAATCCAATGTTATAAAATGTTACATGCATTTTTATATATTTTTATATATTGTTCAATTTATTGTTACTTTTATAGAACACTTGATTCACATGATTACATATGCCTGAGAATTCTTTAGTATGTATTAGTAAGAGTACGTATTATTTGAAAACATAAAATAAAATTGAATATGGATTTGCTTTCTAGATTTTATGCAGCAGAACTCAGTGGGACACTTGGGAGTCTGAGGTAAGATTTTTATGTTGCCAAGGAGTGTTCAAAATTTAAAAGTAAATTTGGCTTTCATAAACATAATGAACAAAAGGAACTCAACATTTGAATTTAGCCTTCTTCCAAAATGTGCTGTCATTTTTGCATTTTCCATTTTAACATTTAGACAGCAAAATAATTATCTTGGTTCTGTTTTTATGTGTCTCAACTTTTCACAAATGGAAATATATTCAAAGAAGATGAAGGAAGTGGTTGGGCTTTTTCTGCAAGTTCAATTATCTTTGTGTTATTGCTCAGTATTCTGAAGCAGGCCCAGAGAATCTTGTTAGTTATCTATTTAGATTGAACAATTTTATAAATGCAAGGAAGATAACTGTGAATGAAGATGTTGTTAAGCAAATGTTCACAGTCATGTGTGTGGGTGTGTGGGGGTAAACACAGGAAAACTGATTACTTGGTCATGAGACTCGCTAAAGACTTTCCAGATCATCTGCTCATGAGAATGACTCATGCCTCATTCTCATTAAGAGAAGGGATATCTAATGATGAAATTCTGCTTATCTGAACATAATTGTTTTAATGAGTATTAACTTTATAAGACAAGGAAATATAGGCAATTTAATTTGGGTGGTCGGATAATTAAATGATGAATCAACTATTATTTTGTGGTATGTTCCTTGTAGTAAAGAGACATGACTGGAAGAAAAGCTAAAATTTTCACTATATATGTTATATATACACATTTCATTACTTTTTTATATTTTAAGCCCATTCAAAATCTCCATATTAAACTACATTATTTTACAACAACAAATTGAGACTCACTGATTTATGCAAAGTATTTTCTTTTGAAGGAACAGGTCTCCCTTCCCACATAGCTGATTGATCTACAACTTGCTGAGAACTGTGAATTACAGGCTCTTTGCTGCCTCTGTGATCTGTTAGTACTTCCATGGGAGAACACATTACTATATTGTGTGAATATTCTGTTTATCATGCCTGTTCTCCTGCTTAATCTGAAAGCTACTTGACATCTAGAGATCTGGAAAGATGCAGTGTTTGTAAGGATTCTGTTTAACAATTGGCTGCTTTCTGATTATTTAATGAGATTAAAATTAATAAATTTAAACATATGCAGCTCAATGAATTTTTAAAAGGAATACACCCATGTAGCCAATACCCAGATCAAGTAATGGAATGTTGTTGGCATTCTGGAAGCCTCCTTCATACCTTCCTACTGTAATTACCACTCCAACTAAAGGTAAACGCTATTCTGAGTTTGCATGAGTAGCTTTTCCTTTTTTGAACTTGTTATAACTGGGATTATGCAGTGCCAGCTTCTTTTACTTTGCATTTTGTTTGTGAGATTCCTCCATCTGTAACAATAGTTCATCTATTTTTATTGTTACATAGTAACTATGGTAAAATTTATGCATCTATTTTTAGTTTATAGACAAAGACACATTCAGTTTAGAGCAATTAGGAATAATGTTGCTATGACGATTCTTATGGGTTGTGGGTTTCCATTGCAGTTTTAATTTGCACTTCCTGGGTAACACATAATATAAGAACTATTCATGTGATTATTGCCTATATGTGTATTTTCTTTCATGAAGTACATCTTAAAGTTTTTAGCATGTTTTTAAAAAATCATGATTGACTTCTTCTCGTCAGTTTGTGACTTTAGAGTCCTGCATGGATACATGTACGCATAATGCATTCTTCCATGCTATTTGCCTTTGCATTCTGTTGATGATGTCTTTCTTTTCATGAACAGAAACTCATAGGTTTAATAAAGTGTTCCTTATAAATATTTTTACTTTATGGTTAATGCTTGATATCTTGTTTGGAAAAATCTTTGTTAACTGCAATATCATGAATGATTTTTCTTATGTGATTTCCAGGATCCTTATTGTTTTGTTTTACAGTTCCCACTGTATTGGGAACTGATTTTGTTTTATAACCGGTGATGTAGCTGTTTCCATATGGACATGATTGAGCTAGTACCTTTTGTTGAAAAAGGGAAAAATAATTTCACATAATGGATTGCCATAAATTAGGTCCACAGAGATGTGGATCCATGTTAGAACTCTGAATTCTCTTTCATTTGTTTATTTGTCTCTCTTTGAGCCGATGACTCATTGTGTTAATTTCTGTAGCTTTCTATCATATTCATATCCAATAATATAATTCTCTAAATTTGTTCTTTTTAAAAAAAAGTTTTGGCTTTCTTTGACTTTTTCTATTTTCAGATGGATGTTAGTATCAACTTATCAATTTCCACAAAATAAACTTTGTGAAGTTTTGACTGGAATTATTGAAATACATAGACTGATTTGGGCATAAATGTTATCCTCACAATTTTAAGCTTTCTAGTCCATAAACGGACATAATATATTCCTTCACTTATTTAGATATTCTTTAGTTTCTCTTATGAGTGTGTTGTAGTTTGTAGGATGTAAGCTTACCTATCTTCTATCTCTAGCTACCTAATGCATCTGATGCTAAAATAGAATTGTATTGATTATTAAAATTTGATATTTGATGTCTAAATGCTTGTTTCTAAAATGTAGAAATACACATAATTGTGTATATTGACTTTAGCTTAGTAACTGCTAAAATCACTTACTAGTTTTAATAGTTTGCAATTCTTGTTTTGAATTTCTACTTACACAATCATTGTACAAAAGTTTTATTTTATTTTCACTTCTATTTAATTTTATATCCTTTCCTCATCATACTAAGGGCTAGACCTCTCCTTTTGTATAATGCTGAACAGCAGTGGCATTAGGAGACACCTCCTTTTCATACTGTTTTCAGGGGGAAGCTATCAGTAATTCAAAATTAAAGATGAATACTTTAGGTTTTCTGCAGTAAACTGTTATCATATCCAGTACATTCCCTTCTATTCTTAGCTGGTTATTTTTTTCAAATTGTAAACTGGTGTTGAATTTTATCAAATGCATTTTATTCATGTATTGAGGTGTTCCCACTTTACTTTGTTAATATGGTTTATTAAGTGAATCACAATGATTGGTAATCAAATGATAAACCAAAGTTGTATTTCTGAAGCATATTCAACTTCATGATATATTAATTGCTTTAAACACCAGATTTTTCTTGCTAACATTTCTGTTAGGGCTTTTATGTTAGTTTGAGAAATTTGCCATTAAGTCATGGTAAGGGCTTGTATCAAGCTACAGTGTAGCTGGTGTGGAAGATAGAGTAATCAAATACTTTAAAAGCATGGTCCAAACTCTGTTAAACATTTGTGAAGTATGGATACCAGTGCTCAGAGATCACAACAGGGACACCTAACCTAATACATGATTATGAAGGGTTCCTTAGGAAGTTGATAGTCAGAAATAGATAGACTTCCTCATTTCCTTTTTCTTATTTGAACTTATATCTAATTCATATGGTTGGAATGTTCTAAATAAGGATAACTGGCTTCCCAGTGTGGTTCATTGTCTATGCTACATAGAGGATGTCCCAAAGTACTAGAGTTTGGTGATCCAAAAGCAAATTTATGTCCTTCACACTATACAAAGATTTGGCAAAAATACTACTTTCAGAAAAGAAAAACACTAAAAATAAATTAGTCTCATTGGGCCCTTAATAGCAATACCTAAAAATAAATACTTGCTGCTTGTCTTAAATTTAGTGCAATCATTTATTCTCATCATTTTCTACTTTCTGGCAAAATATACAACTTGCATTTTCCAGGATGCTACATTTTATACACTTTACAAAATTAATTAATTTTATAAATATAACATTTTTATTAATATTTTACAGTTTTGACACGCTGTACAATCTCTTTCCCAATTCTTTAATTAGGCTCAAATACAATATTTAAATGACACAGAGAGAAAACAAATTTTGAGGCCTCAAAATTCTTGTCTGTAATGAAAAATACAGAGTTTCATCCTATCTGGAAAGTTAGCTCATGCACTGCAAAACCATGCCAAATACAGGCAGCAGAATAAAAACCCAGCATGTTACAAAGTTCTTTCTTTTCCTTCTTTTCTCCTTCTAATTGAATATACATATATATATATATATATATATATTCATGTTAACTCAGTAGGAGTTCATTAGTAACTGAAACAATTTCCTTTCAATTTTAAAACATATAATAACATTTTGAGTAAACTATATATACACCATTTAATATATAATTGTAGAGAAAAATAAAATACAATATCCCAAAATAATTTTAAAACTCCCCTAGGAAAAAGCCAAGAGTTTTAATGTCACAAGTGTTTCAAGATTTGTATTCTTCTATTTGGGATATGATGAGTTTAAAGGATTTACTAAATGTGCTAGGTCAAATATCACTTTGTTCTAGAAGCTTGTAAAATTATAGATTGGAATACTTTCTAAAAATTATGAAAACTACTGTAATTCTGATCATTGTGTTTTAAAATTCTTTAAACTGAAATATTGGCTGGGCCTGGTGGCTCACTCCTGTAATCTCTGCACTTTGGGAGGCCAAGGCCGGTGGATGACGAGGTCAGAAGTTCAAGATGAGTAGTGAAAGCCTATCTCTACTAAAATTACAAAAACTAGTTGGGCATGGTGGCATGAGCCTGTAGTCCAAGCTACTTAGGAGACTGGGGCAGAAGAATCTCTTGAACCTGTAAGGAGGAGGTTGCAGCGAGCTGAGATCGCAATGTTGCACTCCAGCCTGGGTAACAGAGGGAGACTCCATCTCAAAAAAAGAAAAACCTGAAATATTATAGACACGAAAAATGTTTAGCACATCAATTAGGTGTTTTAATTTGAAATTGGGCCTTTAAAAACTTTAATGATTTGATATTATTATTTTTCGTTTTTAAATTTCAACGTCTGTTTTTAGATACACAGGGTACATGTGCAGGTTTGTTATATGAGTATATTGCACCCAGGTAGAGTCTATAGTACCTAGTAGGTAGTTTTTCAACTGACCTCCTTCAGTAGTCCACAATGATGTCTATTGTTTCCATTTTTATGCCTGTGCATGCTCAATGTTTAGT